AGACAGAAAGCGAGAAATCACCCCCCAGGGGGGATGGTCACGCCGCAATCCCTTCTCCTCCATTCTCCTCTCGGGATCTTGGGCACGCACACACACACGCCCAGTGTGAGATTTAAGCCACCGGGTCCAGGACGCGAACCACGGTCGACTACGTGGGAGTCCAGCAACATAGCCATTACGCTAACTGCTGGTTCCCAGACATTTAGTAACTTTGAAAGTAACCTGATGTTCCTCTCTTGCCAATTTCAGTATCTTGTCTCTGTCTGTGGTTTTGGTCAGTCTGGCTATGATGTGCCTTGGAGAAGATCTTCTTGGGTTGATTCTATGTGGGGTCCTTTGTATTTCTTGGGTCTGGATATTTGAGTGCCTCTCTAGGTTTGGAAAGTTTTCTTTTAGGATTTCATGGAATAGATGATCAATGCCTTTATTAGTTTCTTCACCTTCTGGGATACTGATTATTCAGATGTTTGGACATTTAATGGTATCTAGTATTACTTGTATGTTATTCTTCATTTTTTTGGGTTATTTTCTCAGTCTTTTTGGTGAATTGTTCTAGGTCAGAGTTTCTATCTACTACATCTGAGATTTGATCTTCTGCATGATCTAATCTGCTTTTAATATTTTCAAGGGAGGTCTTGATTTCTGGTTTTAGGTCTTGATTTCAGGCCTTCATCTCTAACAATTCCATTTGATTCTCTTTTATGGTGTGGATCTCCTCTTTCAGATTGTGCAAGAGCATCCTCACCTCCTGGAACTCATCTCTTTTCTCCTGCATTTTCTGGAGTTCCTTGCCTCTCTCCTCTTGCACCTCTGTTAGCTCTGTCACTATGAATATTTAAAATTCTTTATCTGACATTTCCACGACTTCCCTTGTATTGTCTGTGAAGTAAGAGGAATTATTCTTTTCCCTTAGAGGAGAGATATTTTCTTGTTTTCTCATATTTCTGGTGCCTCTGTGGTGGTTTCTGGTCATCTGATTGATTATACATTTTTTCCTGGCTCCTGGCTAGATCTGGGGGGCAGGAGGGTGAAGTCTGGGCAGAAGGTCTTCATTGGTCCTAATCCCTGGATCCCTGTGTCCTACTTCAAGTGGCAGCTAGCGTTTTTCTTCTATGTGTGGCTAAAATGCTCCCAAGGGTGGAGATGACCTAGCAGGGCAAAGGGACAAACATCCCCTTCTCTGAGGACAGGTGCAAGGAGCAGGCAGTCACCTGGCTTCCCTGTAAGCCTCACAGTGGGGTGGAGAGTCCCCCAGGTGCCCCGCGCCTCCCTAAGTGTGTGCCGTCTCCCCAGGGCCATCCGTCTGACGCTGCCCCAGCTGGTGCTGCAAGGATCCTACGACCTGCAGGACCTGCTCACCCAGGTCAAGCTGCCTACCCTGCTGGGCCCTGAGCAGAACCTGGGCAAAATCAGCGATGCCAACCTCAGAGTGGGAAAGGTACCGGGAGGCGGGCCTGGGAGGGGTCTGTCTGCTCTGGGCTCTGTATGTCCACAGGGGAGGGACACAGATGGGGCCAGCAGGGCAGGAATAAAAGGAGCTGAGGGTGGGATGGGGCTGCGGTGGGAGAAAAGTGGCCAGGGTGTTCTAGAACTTTCTGGAGACATGGAGCACAGCAAGTCCCTCTGATCCCGCTCCACTTCCTGCTGCTGGGCTGATCCAGGGCTCTGCTCAGTCTGGCAACCTCAGGCTCCCAGATCCGACAGCAGGTAGGGCTGGGATGAGGACAGTGGGCCCCTATGGCCCCTCCTTGAGTGCGGCAGTAGACACACTGTCCCATCGCCATGTGCGAAGATGCACGGCTACAGCTGCTGAGGACAGCCTGGAGGCTCCAGGCTCTGCCAGCCCTAGGAGAACACAGGTTCCCGGCCTGTAGCCCTCGTGCTATGTTGGCAGGACCAGCTCGGAAGGAGCCGGGAATCCTGCCAGGGGGCCAGTGGAGGGCGGGGAGTGAGGCACGTGAGGGAGGGAGGCGCTGTCCTATGAGTTGGGCCTCGGTGGACGGTGAGTCACCTACACAACCACACCCTCGTCCACACTGACCAAGCAGCATGCAAGCCCTGGGCGTCTTCCTGGCCCCCTTGAGGCAGCACCCCGTAGCCATCCTGTGCCCTCGAGAAAGACCCCATGTCTGCCTCGCAGGTGCTGAACAGTGTCCTTTTCGAGCTCAAAGCGGCCGGGGGAGAGCAGCCCACAGAGCCCGCCCTGCAGCCACAGGGGCCCAAGGCCCTGGAGGTGACCCTGAACAGCCCGTTCCTGTTCGCCGTCTATGAGAAAGACACCACTGCCCTGCACTTCCTGGGCCGCGTGGTCAACCCGCAGAGCGCGGCGTGAGGCCGGGACCTCCCTGGAGACAGGCAGTGGCTGACAGACCTGGGTGGCCGTCCCGTGTCCCCACCTTTCCCGCTGCTGAGCCGACAGGGCCGAGGCGGCCGCTCCTCCCCATGAGAGCGTCCTGTGCCAGGGGAGCAGCTGAGACCTACGGGCTGGGGGGTCGTGTGGATGACAAAAAGGTGGGGTGCTGAGTGCAGGACAGACATTGGGGAAGGATTCTGAACCCCCCAACCTGCTTAGGTTACCAAGAGGGTTCCCTTCTTAATTTGGATTTTGAAATTAAAATACCTTTCCATTGCTTCGGGTGCGTGCAGCTTATTGACTGAGACCGTGACCCTCACAGACGGGGTCGTCTGAAAAGCCATGCCGCATCTGTGCACAGGAAAACAGAATGATCCCGCCGGGCCTTTCCCCAGGGGCCCCGCGAACGCCCCAGCTCTCCTTCCCTGTGACACCTGCGGCTTTCAAAAATCGCACCGTGAAGGTGAGCGTCAGGTTTGTGGCAGAAGGTGACGTGGGCTTCCCCTTGTTACCAACACGCATCTTGCAATAGGATGCAGACGGTCACGGTGCGCTCAGCAGCACAGACATGCAGGCTGGAGACAGGCTGCGAATCAGTGTTCGAGTCCGGCGTGCGGTGTCACAGGCTGGGGACAGGCCGCGAATCAGTGTTCGAGTCCGGCGTGCGGTGTGTCCACGGCCATCTTTGGAGGAGCCCCAGCGGCGCCCTCCCCAGGCATTTGCTTGGCTGGCAGCAGCAACTGCCGTGTGACGTGTGGGGCGTGGCCCGGCCTGTACCTGTGTGGCTGGCGCCGCTTCCCTCCCAGTAACAGGGTCACACTGTGACTCGGATTGTGCCCAAGATCGCGCGCGAGAAATAGCCCTTCACAAAGGAACGTCTGCCAATCCCTCCGCCGGGTGGGGCCTGGGGAGCGGCCCGTTTCCTCCCCGTGGGGCTCGACTTGCAGCGTCTGAGCCCTGGGAAAGCTGACGAGCAAGCGGGCCGCAGCAGGACCCCAGGACCCCAGGACGCCCCGACGCTAGGGCACCTGGTCCCCCTACCGGCCACACCACCGAACCCTTGGTCAGGCAGGCCGCAGCATGAGTGTGCGTGTGTGCGGTTTCACGGACTGGCACTGACATGTCTGTGCAGTGTCTGCACAGGGAATGCCTGCCTGCCTGGGGGTGCTGGGGGCTGGCCCTCCCTGGACTGGGCCCTTGGCAGCCAGCTGAAGGGGCTGGATGACGTCCACTCTGATTTCTGGCCAGCGTGGAAACAGCCACGACCAGCACCCTTCCAGTCCTGGACCCCTTACGTTCCCAAGGGTCTCCTAATTTCGCCCTCACCTTGCTGGCTTTGATGCCACCGTGGGGTGACGTGGTCTGACAAGGCCCTTCTCTGCTGCGCCAGGCACGTGAAAGGCCGCAGAAAGGTGGGTGGTCGAAGCCTGGGTGCCAGAGGCGGGAGAGCCAGGCAGGAAGCCCAGATCCCCAGTTGCTGTTGTGACTGCGAGCAGGTTACTCAGCCTCTCTGGGCCTCACTGCCTCACCTGCAGGATGGGAAATGCTGGGCTTCCCAGAAGGCAGGGCAGGTACGTTACAGCTCCTCTGTGGGGCTGCCGCTGCTGTGTTCCTGAGTCTCATCCGTGAGCCTTTGGGAACTTCAAGTGAAATGGTTAAAAACATTTACCCTGTTAAAGTGGGCTGCATCTTTCAATGCAAGCTGTGGTACTTTAAGAATACTACTTACAAACAAAATAAACTTGGTTTACGTTTTTTTAAAGGGAAGGGATGAGTGAATAACCACCACCGTGCCCTGCACCTGTCTGCAAGGGCCGTCCCACGGGGTGTCGGGCACACTGCGCAGGGGGGTGTGCCTCGGCAATGTGGTGGGCTGGACAGCGGCCCCCAGAGCTGCCCAGGGCTGAGTGCCCAGAACCTGGGCATAGCACCTTGGGCAAAGGGGACCTTGCAGCTGTGGTTAAATGGAGGGTCCTGAGATGGGGAGGTCACTCGGGTCATCAGGCAGGTCTTGTGTGGTCAAAAGGTCCTGAGAGGGAGGCAGAGGGGACTGAGGACCGGAAGGGAAGAGGGTGAAGAGACGGTGAAACGGGGGGCGGGGGGATAGGCAGCCCCAGGAGCCGGAAGGCCTAGGAAATCCTCCCCTAGTCTCCAGAGGGGCGGTGCCTACAGCCAGGGCTCCACTGGCCACAGCCCTGGCACTGCATACCTTGACACCTGCAGGCACCTGCCCTCGGGGCAGGATCAGGATCAGGATCAGGATCCTGGGCTGCTGCTCCCAGTACAGCCCTGATGGAGCTCGCCTGACTTAGCAGAGTTCAGTGTTGGAAGCCTGTCCCTGTTCTCGAGTTCTGAAACTTAGACGCGAGGGGAAGGTCTGCGCCATCGGGATGTGGTCCGTTGGCATTTTCTGCAGCCCTGGAGCTGCTGATGCAAGAACATGCAGAGCCCAGTGTCGAGTTTAGGCGCCCCTCTTGCTGCAGAGCTCAGTGATACTCCTCCCAGCAACACTCAGGAGCCACACCCGCTGCCAAGCTGGAGAAGTGAGACCAAGGCCCCAATGCGACGCTCCTCCAGCTCAAGGTGGTGCCGACTGCACCATCACACCTGCTCCTGCACCGTCAGCATACCATTCCGCTGTGGGCAGGTGTCCGCTGGCAGGGTCTGTGCATGATCCTCAGAAGGGCCATTGCGTGGGGCAGGGCTGGGGGAGCAGCCCTTGGGGCTGCAAGGAATTATGGTAAGACCTTGGAGAGCAGACTGGGGGTGTACTAAAGAAGCCCCAAGTCCATTTTTTCCTTTTAAGGTTTATTTATTGATTCCTCCTGAGAGGGAGAGAGACAGAGACAGAGATGGCATTCCCATCAGGGTCTTGTTGCCACAAGCCACCCAGCCTGGATCAGAGGCACGCGAATGCCCATCGCGCTCGGGGTCTCGGGACTTGAACCTGGAACCTCCTGCATTTTGCCACTGTGTCACCGTCTGGTCGCACTCCATTTCCTGCTCTTCTCCAGAGACACACAGCCGCAGTCCCCATGACTGAACTTGAGCCACTTGGAGAACAGAGACACCCGTACTCACCCGAACTGGGCACAGCTACCCTCGGGCAGCCCCCTCTGGGTGGGGGGCCTCCAAAGCTCTGTCCCATCCCAACCTGGGAACACGGCTTTACTTGGAAATAGGAGGCTGCTGTGATGTAATCAATTAGAGCTCTCAAGAGAGGACCCAGCCTGGGGTAACAGGGGGGGTTCTGAGTCCTGTACAGGGAGCGTGTCCCGGTGAGTCAAGGGCAGACAGCCCAGCAGGTGGCATGGAGGTTAAGGTGCTGGACCCCATATGGCTGACTTTGCAGTTGGAGTTCCCTGATCACGCTGGGTGTGTGTGTGCGTGTGCCCCAAATCCCAAGAGGACAACGGAGGAGTGGGAACTGCAGCACAGCCATCCGCCCGGGGGGGGGGGTTTCTCTCTCTCTCACACACACATACACCCGTCTCTCTCTAGTGAGCGCACAAGCCCTACAGCAAAATGAGAAAAAAAGGTGACAGGGCGGGCCAGAGAAGATGGAGGCAGAGCTCTGGGCGAGCTGGGAGGCCAAGGAGCCCGGAGCCCCGACAGCCGGGGGAGACCAGGACCCATGGGACCCTCAGGCACAGCCTTGCCAAAAGCCGGCACGCGGGTCTCAGCAGCCGAGGGAAGGCAGGCAGGAGGTTCCCGGGAGGCCTGGGAGTACCACAGGGAGATGGCGGAGCACCAGCCCACGGGGCCGAGTGCCCGCACGGCCTCCCCAGCTGCAACCCGGCCCTGGCAGGAAGCAAACCTCTCTTGGGTTCGAGATCTTTTCTCCAGTCTACCTCACAAAGCTGGAAACAGTTCGCTGTAAAAACCTATCACCCCATCTTTACCCACTAGCTGGCTCTCCAAAGTGAAGCTGATAAAACACGTGTTAAAGAAAGGGCGAGTGCTCTGGGATGCCGCAGATGAGGGCTCTGGCACCTTCAGCTTTCTGCCTGAAGAGTGTTTCTAAGTCCAGAAGCAGCTATGCAGGGACGAGCACAGAGGCGCTGCCACCCCCAGCATGCTGCCTTCTCTGTTCTGGCACTGACACAGGGAGGGCCACCCACCAGGTTAGGGCCCAGACCTGCCCACCTGGGCTTCCGTACTTCCTCATTGTCTCAGTGACCTAATGTGCCTGTTTCCTCATGCAAAATTGAATAAAATCAGAAGAGTTGCAGGGATTAATAACCTTCCCCACCCCACCAGGACAGTGGTCTGGGGCAGGCCTCAGGTCTGCTGTTGATACAGGTTGGGTGGATGGGGCTTGGAACTGATGACACCCCATGATACCTTCCCTGGCGAGGTCTGAGGATGGCAGTGCCCCGAGAGGAGTCCTTGTGGTCTGGTCCACTGGCATCTCTGCCTGAGGCTGCTGCAGGGCCAGATGCTCCCACAGCACTCGTGTTACGGCAGGGCCTGGGCTCTCCTGCAGCATGGCTGTAGGTGGCTTGGATCCGTCCAGCGCCCAGGTCACACTGGATCTTTTCCTCCAGCTTCCCCAGACCTGACCCAGCTGCAGGGAAGGCCAGCTTCTCCTTCAGGTCACGCGTCACTAACCCTGGGACTGTGGCCCAGCTTGCCCTGGCTCTTCCACCCACGCCGGCCCCCGCTGGCCAGTCTGGCTTGGCTGAGCAAGGGTGAGCCTCTAGAACAAACCGCTCTGCTGTCCTGTCAGGTTGTCTCTGACCAACCAGAGGATGCTGACCTCCAGGAAGGGGCTTTCTCCATCGGGACAGGGCTGTCAATGTGAAGCCCAGAAGAGATCCCCTTCGTGAGGGCCAAGAGCTGGCATCCTGGTGCTCCCTGCAGCGGGGCTCTTGGGCTGTCCTTGCTAAGCCCAGGGCAGACCCCTGTGCAGGGAACAAGAGCCGCCGTCAGCCGGGTGCTCGCTTCAGTGAGACTCTGGCTACACTCACTGGGGCTTCCTCTTCCGGCCACCTCACCTCCAGAGCCTGCTCAGCACACACTGAGAACCACTCCTGCCAGCTCTGGCATCGACTCCCCTCCTCCCCACCACCTAAGTCTGCTCTCCCGACAGGGAGCCCTGGAAGAACCCGGGAGAAGGGAACCGACACAGCTGCTCCCGAGCGGCCGTCACCTGGAAGGGCTGGCACCCAGCTAAGCGCGAGCCCCACATGGTGCTGCTCACGCCGTCTCCCCACCTACACCTCAGCACCCCGCCGGCTCATGGGACGAGCGTCTGCTGATCCCAGCAGGAGCAGCGCTCTCCCTCCACGGCACAGCAGAGTTCTGTGCAGACGGGACCCCCAGCAGGCACTAAGGGAGGCAGGCGGCTGCGAGGGGCGTCCCCTATCACCTAGCCTGCGAGCAAGGGGTGCCTCACCTCTGCACGGTCACAAATACCATGCACACTCGTGGCAGACACTTCTTTTATTTAGGAAATCAACCTCTCCTACTGGTCTGGCTCCTGACAGGGCTGGGTGGTGCGGTGGTCAGAAGCGTTGTTCTCGGACTCTGTGTGAGGAAGGCCAGCGGCGTCCACGCCTCCCAGGAGGGCTGTAAGGGCCCGCTCTCCTCCTTCCAGGGAAGGGTGTTTCTAGAAGCTGGTCATCCCACTGCCGGCATCCTTCCAACCACAGACCAGGGAGCAGCTTTTATACTCATACAGACAGTCACTTTAATAGAATTTTAGAAATCGGCTCTTCCACACTAAGATTTACAATAAAAATAAAATAATTTGTTCTGTAAACTATAGTAGAAAGTGTCAAATGTCTTAAAAACTATTTTCCATACAATGGAAAAGGCTTTTGTGTCCTTTTGGGCAAAGACGACCCAAAGACGCTGAGAGGCGCGCAGGGAGCAGTGTCATGGGCGGGACGCTGGGAGCACCTCTCCGTGGCTGCGGCGCGCAGAGCACGGCCTCCCCTTCCCACGGGCTCTGCCAAGATGCTCAGGGCTGCTCTGCCGTTGCCTGGTCCTTGGCAGCGAGGACAAGCTCTGCCAGCGCCGGGAAGCTCCTGACGTCGCCTGTGTGCAGGCCCATCCTCTGTATCTGCAGAGGCCACCAGAGCAGTTACACTGCAAGGTCTCCACTGCTGGGAGAAAGCCTTTAGTGAAAGAAAACAGCAAAGCGCGCAGCCACCGAGCCAGGAAAAGACGGGCCCCAAAGGCTTGTAGGCTATTCTTCCCTTTAGGGCAAAGGGTTTACTTACTGGGAACCCTTCTGTTTGGGGGTCATGCACCTCGCAGTCTAAGAAGCCACTATGTTAATTTCTCTTGGTCCATCAAGTTAGGCTCTTACCAGAATAAGAGCCTCTGCTGTGGACTTAGAAGAAAGTCTGCACTAGAACAAATCTAATTAAAAAGGGAGCTATTCTTTAAGTGGAGAACTTCCACAAAGGGCTGGCCTGAACCAGTGCTTCCTTGGCGCCCCCCTACCCCCGCTTCCTTAGAGCCTGATGCCCTGAGAGGACTTGGGTGTGGCAACTGCGGAGGGTTCTTCTGGCAGCCGGGACGCAGCACAGTCTGTCCCCACCGTGCTTAGCGCCAGCGAGATGCACCACGCATACAGAGAGGGGCAGACAGACGCCATCTGAGAGCGTGCCATGGCCATTAAAGGGATGGGGACTGGGACCGTGGGTGGCCTTTCCTCCCCTCTCCCCCACAGCCCTCCTTCCTTTCTTTTCTCTCATCTGACCATCAGGCTTCTGTAACAAACTTTGCCTGCAAATTAAATTTCCTTGTGAAACAGGAACACAGCAACTAGCTGTGCCAGGGTAGAGCTCTGAATTCACCCCAAAGCAGAAAGAAGTTCACTTTCAGGGGTGACCCTGATGTGTGAAAGAAATCCCAAAGTGAGCCAGAAGTTGAGCCCTGACAGAACCCCCCACCTCGCGACTCCCGGGCACAGGTCCTTGCGGGCTGCTCCGTGAGGCCGGCCAAGCGCTTCTCCCCAGCTACGGTCCCCGGCACTCTGAGGACGTCCCCTCAGTGAACCCGAACAGGTGCCCCATGTTGCCCCCTCGCTGCGTCAGTGAGGAGGCCCATGTTCCCCGTGCTGAGCCCAAGCCCCGTGTCCTGCGGAACCCTGCAAGGCCCTGGGCCCGCGTTCCTGGCGGGAGCCGTCCAGTTACCTCCTCTCCCAGGTGCCCCACGTCCAGGGCCAGCTGCAGCCGGATCTTGTCGTCGTCACTCATGCCACCACTGGGGCCCACGGGGTTGGGGTTGGCTTTCCTGGCTTGCTTCAACCTTTTCAGGCTCTCTTCCATCTTCTTCACGGAGCTCAGCACATCCGACACAGTCTCGTAGTACCTAGGGCACGGCCACGTGGAAGGGGCATGGAGTGTGTGACACGGGGTAGGAGCAACTGGCTGCCCGGGCCAGAGAGATGAGCACACACAAACTGCCGGGTGCACATGCACAGCAGAGGGGGGGGAGGCAGAAGGAAGGAAGCGAGAAAGCCCCACGGAGGACGGCCAGACTACTGCCCGCTCTCCTCCCGCTCTGCCCCGATGGGGTTCGGGCACAAAACACCCAGCTCGTTTCCTAAAGCGCTGACTCTGACACCTGAACTGCGCAGTCGGCAATGTGGGGTCCAGGAGCCGCAACCGCCAGGCCAGGGGTGGCCTGAAAAAAGTGACTTCTAAGAGAAAAGTTCATGTCCAATATGGTAAATACTTAATGCTTCTCCAGTATGGCATTCCCTCAGGACTTCATAAATAAGTGCTAGATTTTGTTTGAAATTTTCATTCTACACACCCAAAGAGAACCAGAAGCCAGTCTATCTGCTACACTGAGGGCAGGGCGGACCTCCACAGCCCCTTCCCCAGATAAGGCAACAAGCTCATTTCCACTCTGTGTCAGAACAAGTCCTGAAAAGTAAAAAATTTCACAATTTCAAAATAAAACTCACTGCCTTCAAAATGGTCTCATCTCGATATAACTTTCAAATGGTAAATTAGCTATATATTGAAACACCTACAAACATCTGGAATACACTACAAATTCTAAGAAAACAACATCGACCGTTATGTTCTAAATTAATCCACAAATGGCTGCTTCACTAAGTAATCGAGGCAACGGATATGACTGCAGAATTATTAGAGGGAGTCAGCAACAAACTCGAATAGCGGACTTTTTTTTTTTGGAGGTTTTTGCTACAGGGCGCACATCCCCCAGGGGGGATGGCCACGCCGCAATTCCTTCTCCTCCATTCTCCTCTCAGGCTCTTGGGCACGCAAATACAAGCACCTGGCATGAGTTTAAGTCACCAGGTCCAGGACTTGAACCGCGGTTGACTACAGGGAGTCCAGCAACATAGCCATTATGCCAACTGCTGGTCCCTCGAATACCATACTTTCTGAAATGTAACTCAGTGCTGGCATCTGGGGAGAAGTAGGATTAATTAAAGAGGAAGATCCTTGAGGGTTTTAGAAACCGACTCTGTCAGCTGTAATTAGACTTCAAAATATATGTTTTCTTTTCCTTGATTACGAAGCTTGCCACCTGGACTGACGGCCTAAGGACAGAAAGGACCTGAGGGGCTTCCTGCACTCGGGGTTGGCACCTGTGGGCTACAGGCCAGGTGGGAGGAGGCCCAGGGCTGGGTGCTGGGGTAGGGAGGGAGAGGCTGCGTGAGTGCACCACATTCTCAAGCCCTGACCTGCATGCAGCTCGTGAAGGCCCCAGGACCCTCTGCCTCACTCCCCTGAGCACGCCCCGCCTTGGCGGCGCACGTACTTATGGGTGCTCTCCGAGAGCGCTCCTTGCAGCCACTGCTGGAGGACTTCCTGCTTGAGCTTGTCCTTGTGTTCACGCTGTAGCTGGTGCAGGGGCTTTAGGGCGCTGTCCACGTAGGAGGACGCTGAGGTTGGGACCTCCTGAAGAGAGGTGGGTAGGGTCAAGGATACACAGGCAAAAGCAAGAGCGAGCGTTACCCAAGCCTCACATCCCAAAGGACACGGCACGCGCCAGCTCCGAGGCATACGGCCGCCACACCTCTTTTCTTTCATTTTTCTTTTCTTTTCTTTTCAAGAGAGATTTTGGCTATAGGGCGTGTGCACGTGCCAGAGAGACAGACAGCGAGAGATTGCCCCCAGAGGGGATGGGCATGCCATAATCCTTTCTCCTCCAGTATTCTGAGATTTTGGGCATGTACACACACGTGCCCAGCACTGAGTTTTAAGCCACTGGGCCCAGGACTTGAACCGTGGTCGATTACGTGGGAGTCCAGCAACGTAACCACCACACCTCTTCACGGGTAACACAGACATCCATGGACAGGTGCTGGAGCACAGGAGGGAGTTGAGAAGCATGAGCAGGGGGACGTCTGCTGCCAGCTGGTCCAGGGCCCACTCCAGCCCCACCACCAGGGCTTTGCTCCCAAAGAGCCCATGTCCACGCTTCCCTTGAGGACAGCGCAGCATGCTGGTTCTGACTGTGTGTGCATGTGTCTGTGTGTGTGTGCACGTGTGCTGGGGGCCCCTGACAGTGCTCCCATGGGCGATGTCCATGCTGCTGCCCGGCAGAGCTACAGCCCTATGTGTGAAGTGAGGGTCTGGAGTGAGCAACTTCCCTCTGTGTTTCTCCACCTACCAACAAAGGCACCAGCACCCACGTCCCTGCAGACCCGTGTCGGACCCGAGAGGTAGACTCTCGGTGCGTGTACTGATGTTGCTGCAACAGCCACCGAACTGCAGGGGAAGCCAGGCGATCGCTAAGAGGAGCCGATGTGCTGCCAGTACCTGTCTGTCTCTGCCTCTCCCCTACTTGTGCAGAGAAGCCTCACGCCAGACCAGGAGGAACACTAGAAGGCCAGGTTCTTTGTCGGAAAAGGTAATCTGACCACATGCCCCGTTTTTCACAGTGAAAAGGAGAAAGAGCCACAGGAGAGACTGGCACCAGTCTCAGTTCGGCAAGTTACTCAGGGCATCCCACGCACGGCGTTATGGGGTGGGAAAAGCGATGCTAAGAGCAGCCGGGGTCCCTCCACCCGGCACAGAAGCAAACCGTCTTCGACAGACTCCAGAGCGCAGAGCACAGCACCTTGGTACATCTGCCCAGCTCCTGAGAACAATTTCTGGTAGTAAAACAAGTAAAAAAAAAAAAAATTTTTTTTTGGAGAGGGTTTTGCTACAGGGTGCGCTCGCCAGAAAGAGAGACAGAGAGATAGAAAGCGAGAAATTACCCCCCGGGGGGATGGCCACGCTGCAATCCCTTCTCCTCCATTCTCCTCTCGGGATCTTGGGCACGTGCACACACCCACCTGGCGTGAGTTTAAGGCACCAGGTCCGGGACTTGAACTGCGGTCGACTACATGGGAGTCCAGCAACATAGCCATTACACCAACTGCTGGTCCCAAACAATTAAAAATGTTAAAGTAAGCCTAACATCTAGCTCTACAACTGGGAAAGAGAAAGGAGAAGCAGCGTGAGACCAGACACAGATGGTGCGAGAGGGCAGACGCTTGCACCCGGACTGGGGACACCTAACCAGGGCTTTGCTCCCAAAGAGCCCATGTCCACGCTTCCCTTGAGGACAGCGCAGCATGCTGGTTCTGACTGTGTGTGCGTGTGTCTGTGTGTGTGTGCACGTGTGCTGGGGGCCCCTGACAGTGCTCCCATGGGCGATGTCCATGCTGCTGCCCGGCAGAGCTGCAGCCCTATGTGTGAAGTGAGGGTCTGGAGTGAGCAACTTCCCTCTGTGTTTCTCCACCTACCAACAAAGGCACCAGCACCCACGTCCCTGCAGACCCGTGTCGGACCCGAGAGGTAGACTCTCGGTGCGTGTACTGATGTTGCTGCAACAGCCACCGAACTGCAGGGGAAGCCGGGCGATCGCTAAGAGGAGCCGATGTGCTGCCAGTACCTGTCTGTCTCTGCCTCTCCCCTACTTGTGCAGAGAAGCCTCACGCCAGACCAGGAGGAACACTAGAAGGCCAGGTTCTTTGTCGGAAAAGGTAATCTGACCACATGCCCCGTTTTTCACAGTGAAAAGGAGAAAGAGCCACAGGAGAGACTGGCACCAGTCTCAGTTCGGCAAGTTACTCAGGGCATCCCACGCACGGCGTTATGGGGTGGGAAAAGCGATGCTAAGAGCAGCCGGGGTCCCTCCACCCGGCACAGAAGCAAACCGTCTTCGACAGACTCCAGAGCGCAGAGCACAGCACCTTGGTACATCTGCCCAGCTCCTGAGAACAATTTCTGGTAGTAAAACAAGTAAAAAAAAAAAAAATTTTTTTTTGGAGAGGGTTTTGCTACAGGGTGCGCTCGCCAGAAAGAGAGACAGAGAGATAGAAAGCGAGAAATTACCCCCTGGGGGGATGGCCACGCTGCAATCCCTTCTCCTCCATTCTCCTCTCGGGATCTTGGGCACGTGCACACACCCACCTGGCGTGAGTTTAAGGCACCAGGTCCGGGACTTGAACTGCGGTCGACTACATGGGAGTCCAGCAACATAGCCATTACACCAACTGCTGGTCCCAAACAATTAAAAATGTTAAAGTAAGCCTAACATCTAGCTCTACAACTGGGAAAGAGAAAGGAGAAGCAGCGTGAGACCAGACACAGATGGTGTAAGAGGGCGGCCGCTGGCACCTGGACGGGGGTGCCCGAAGCCACGGGCTCTAGAGTGCAGACAGGAAAGCCCGACTGGACGCTGTGTGCCAGTGCCTGGTCTCATAGACGCCTTCCATCGGTGTTTAGATGCAGCTCCTCAAACGTATTCAGTAAAAAGACAAGAGAAGCAGGTACTTCCAAGGACAATATGAAGGGAACGAGATACACTTTTTGAAATGTAAGTGATGAACTTGAAAAATACAGGACTTAAAATGCCATTAAATTGCTCTCTTCTGAAAAAAGTATCTTTCCTTAAGACCAAAAGAACCCAGGGGAGCCCACACTGCACAGGACGGACACCCCAGCAGTGCTGCCCTGGGGCCCGCCACCCACCTGCAAAACTGCTTTCTCCTCACAACATGGCAGGCTGAAGAGCCGGGCTGGCTGTCTCAGGCACCCTGAGGACTTATTCCTTCCACTCCCTCTCATTCCCCATCCGTCCTCTCCGACATTACTAATACACAGTCCCCACCCCACCCCCCGAAACTCTCGCCAGCGAGTGGGGCTGACCTTGTTGGTTCTGCGATACAGTCTGGGCACCTCGAGGGCTCCCTTCAGGTAACTGAAGCAGGACTCGCTCAGCTCCTGGATGATCTTGCTACTCACAGCCGGCATGCAGGCCGACAAGGAGCGCTGGGAGTCCTCCAGGGCAGCTGTTGGGACACAAGGGCTGGAGTTAGCCCTCGCTCAGGCCCTGGTGAGTTTGGTACACTGCCGTGCAGTTGGGGCGCGTGCTGTGGGCAATCAGGCCAGAAAACCACGACTAAACAAACACGCTTGTCCAGAGAAGGTACCATCAGAGAACAGAAAAAAGAACTGAGAATTTACATTTAGAGGGAAAAAGCTCATTTTTTTTTGGGGGGGGGGGGGCCAGCAGGTGGTCGGAGGTTAAGGCAGCTGGATCCCTCATGGCTGACTTAACAGTTTGAGTTCCAGACCCCATGGCTTAAAAGACACACTAGGCACATATGCATGTGTGCCCCAAACTCCAACAGGAGAATGGAGTAGGAGAAGAGATTGCAGTGTAGCTATCTTCTATGGGGTTGATTTTTTACTCTCTCTCTCTCTTTCCAGTGAGCACAGGCAGCCTTTAACAAAACAAAAATAATTTAAAGGAGCAATTTAGTCATGAAAATAGAGAGGCTACATTGCTTCTAATTCTTTTGAGGAGATAATTAATAGCTATTTGCCCAAAATGGTTTAGTCCTTTTTCTGCTACCTAGAAATGGCATAACTTACAGTTCCCTCATCTTCTTCACAGTGAGAGTTTAAGTTGCTGGAGAACAATTAACCTTCCTTGTGTGTATTGTGGGAGAGGAATTCTTCAGATCTTTGGAACAAAAGCCCTTACAAATTTTGGATGAGATTCTTATTTTACTATTTCCTGTGTTCTCACTGTTATAGATACCTAATGAATTTTATCACCTCTCCCCCTTTTTTTAAGAGAGATTTTTGCAATAGGGTGCGTGTGCTTGCCAGAGAGACAGAGAGAGAGAAAATGAGAAATCCCTCACCCCAAGGAGGATGGCCTTTCTCCTCCATTCTCCTCTCGGGATCTTGGGCATGCACACACACGCGCCCGGTGTGAATTTAAACCACCAGGTCTGGGACTCGAACTGTGGTCAACTACATGGGAGTCCAGCGACACAGCCATTATGCTAACTGCTGGTCCCTTAAGTTCGTTTAAATATATTCTACAATCTCTGAAATTTTATCTTAAATCACTTCTCAAAGATTTGCTGAGTCTAAAGATTCGTTCTTACCTGAGATAGAAGAAAAATTCCTAAAGTCAATCATTTCAAGTTTTGCTCTGATTGTTTCCAAGAGTTCTGGGAGCTGAAATAAATAATACACGTTATGCATTCAGTTATTTTTTGCAAACTCTATCTGTAGCAACAAACTTCAGAATGTTGTTAATGAACGGAGAAACTCCAATCAGACTTTACTCTCATACTCGTGCCTGACCTCACAGAAATTCTGCTTGTTCTCTTTTTTCCGTAAGTTTCATTGAAGGAAAGCGGCCTTCCTAATGCTTGCTGCAAAGACCTCAACGAAGGAGCCCACACAGTTTAAGGGCCATGATGGGCAGAGAAACCAGAGGAAGAAGTTCCATATTTCAGCACTTTTAAAGGACAGCTGAAGATCACGCCTCAGCAGAAAAACAGTGCAGCCTGGCTCTGCCTGAGCCTGTCCCACCACCGCTGCAAAGGAAGCAGCGCTGCGTGGGAACCGGAAACTGGGTAGAAGCGAGCACGCCCTAGAAACCCTTCATGTGACGGTCAGGGAGGGACCCCTGGATGGAGCGAGATGCTCCCTTTCAGGGTACCCCCGGACATGCCTCTCTGAAGCCCCTGAGGCCAAATGGCACCAGTCTTCCTACCACTTCCTGTGGCCACTGACCAGAGCAGCCAGAAGCCCCCGGACACGGGCCTACCTGCTCCTGCATCCTGTCCAGGTCTGCGAACACGTGTACGAGTCGAGTGCTGGAAATGGAAGCCACGGGCTTTGCTTCCGAGAGCCCGCGGCCAGGGTCTTCGGCGTTTCCTTGGGTAAGGGAAGGGTCTCTGTTGCCAGTCACCTGAGGCTTTTTGCTCTCCCTGGCACTTTCATTGGAAACGGGCCTGAGTAAAAGCTGGAAAAGGATTCAGGGATTAAACACTTTCATGAGAGCAGACCCATGAGCATTTATACAAAGAGACTTCTAGAAGTTGGTGGAAAACAGAGCTGAAGTACAAGTTCATTTTGGTGGGAAAACTTCTGAAGTCAATGCTAGTTTTCACACAATGAACATTTTTGAAGACTCCTTGCAGGGTTCACAGACTCCCCCATGAAATGCCACTGCCTCTAGTGTTCAGTAAACACTCACCGTGTGTCTACCGACAGGTGTAAACACAGGGAGAAAACGGGTCACACGATAACCCCATGTGTGTTTACCCTGCATGCCACGTCTCACTTCTGGTACCAGAAAACATGGGGAAAATAAGAAGTCCCAAAGTAACAGTAAAATTCATTTCTGAAATGCCAGTTTTTGGAAAAATTAATGCTCGAAGCCAAGTCACAACTCATGGTGAGCGAGGAGAGCCACGGGGGTGGGGGTGGGGACCGCAGGCAGCTGAGGAACCCTTCTGCTGGGGCCCCGCCGCCTGTGGGAGCTGCAGTCCACACACCTTCACGAGTCCCTCCTACGAGCTTTCCCCACTTGACAGATGAAGAACGTGAGACTCAGAGAGCTGAACTCCCAAGTGCAGTTAGGAAGTGACCCTGCCTCACTCCGAAGTCCAGCTCCTTTCCTGGACACACTGCAGGGGGATGACAGCATCTCCCTCCCCGAGGGCCGTCCCCCCACATCTGGGTGTCACGTTCCCAGCTCGCCCTCTTCTCACAGCCCACAGCCTAGGATGCTGGTGGCACAGGGTCTCACGGACCCTGTGAGTGGGGAAGCAGCTCTGCAGCCCGAGGTCCCGGGAAGGCCCTAATGGCCTCCGGCTCCCTGTATTACACCACTGCGTTGTCAGAGTCATGGGGACAGTAATGCATCTGACTCTAAAGATGGAGAAAGTAGAATATTCTAAGAAGTAAAGAATAACTAATTTTACTAACTTTTGTTCTTGATCATGTGATTTTGTTTAAACTTCCAAATACAACTCATTAAAATACATACATTTCCAATCATTTTCATTAAAATGAACATCTTGGTTTTAATTTGGGGGCACCTCAAGGATTCTGGCTTAGAGGAGGGAAAACGAACTTGTCACAGGAGAACTTTCCTAGGCTGAGCATGTGGTAACAGAGATGCTTGGAAGAGTGAAACCAAGACGAGAAAGAGTTGACCCACTGTGACCCAAGTCAGCCTCAAGACACACGCGTCCCCCCATGTCGTGCAGTGCTCGGCCTCACGCAGCCAGTGTCAGCAGTGGCCACCGCCCACCCCGCCGACGAACACGGAGAAGCGGGCCAGGACCCGCAGCGGGGACCCCC